AGGGTTTCGGGTTTCAGGGTTGAGGTGTTGTTGCTGGGATCGATAAAGCTGCAGAACCATGGAAAAGCAAGCAGAACCTGAACGGGAAACTGGGGTTGAGCAGCGGTTTATAGGGTTTGGGGTTTTGGGATTGGGGTTTGGAACCTTTATCTGGATCAATGTTAGGGATCCTTTCTATTTTTGTGGCGTATGAGATTCCTTACAGTTTGTGTAAAAAGGATTCTTTTCTTCCTCGGGCACGGTGGGCTAAGTTGAGCCTAAACCCGGACTTTGGAGGGGCGAGCGGGACAGTGAACCCCTACATGAAACCGTATAAAGCCCTATAAAGTACCCCTGCTCCCTCCCCCACTTCCCGTTAAGCACCAGTTTTTGCTTCTGCATCGAGAGCCAAGGATTTCGAAATTGGGGTTAGGGTCGGCACTTCATTTCAAGGCTAGGCACCTAAGGTCTAGATGGAGCTATTTGAGGTTCCAGGTTAGGTTCGGGGAGGGCAGCGTTAATGAGGCCTGCTCGCATTCCTTTTCCTTGCACCGTCTGGAACCGCTGTGATACTGAAATTCCACAAGGCACGTTCCACATCGTCCACTAACAAAGGGCCCCCTAGCTTCTTTAAAGCAAACATCTGTAACATGCCTTTCGAACAACCAGTTTTCCGTTGGGGCATCACTGACATCCCTTCTTTTTGGGGCGCCCGAAACTCTTATTCTCAAACCGTAAACCCTCATGTTTTAACCTTCCCTCAACCTTCAACCCTAAACTTTAATCCCCTAACCCCAAACCATTAAACTCTGAAACCTAAACCCCTGAACCCTAAGCCCCTAAACCCTAAACCCCTAAACCAACAAATCCTGAACTCTAAACCCTAAACTCTAGACCCCCTTGTCTTTGTCAAGCCAAGGAGCAGATCCAAAGCTTCGAGGCCCTGTTTGCTCTTTGCTTGCCTGGGTGTTGTCAGGGAATTCAGGGATCGAAGAAACAATAGGTTTTGGGGTTTGGGGTTTGGGGATTTAGGGTTTAGGGGTTTAGGGTTCAGGGTTTGGGGTGTCTAGGGTTTAGGGTTTTGGGTTTGGGGAGTTTAGCGTTTGTCGTTTGGGGCTTAGGGTGGAGGCTATTGCTTCATAGGGGAATGAGTAAGGCGAATATCTGATACAGGGATCTTTTTTTCCACTCTTCACTAGAAACTAAAATTCAGCAAGTTTTGCATGGCTAGCTGAGTTTGAGATTCATATGGAAGCCTCACAAAACAGAGAGTACGTTGAGAACTGTACTTTGGAGGTTCATAGGGCTCAGGGGTTAGGGTTTAGGGTATGAGGTTCAAAGTGGGGCTGCAGAAAAGATAGCTCTGGTGATAGCCTACGTGGAGAGATCTTAAACCTTGCATGAGCTAGAGTCTAAGCTCCCCAGGTTTAGGGTCCAAAGTCCTTAAAGGGGTCATCTAGGGTGTAGGGTTTAGGGTCTAACTCATTAAAGGGGGTTATATAGGGGATTATATGGGCTTATTAGGATACGAGCAGTTTAGACCATAGCTCACATATACTTGCCTGGAAGGGCCCCTTCCGGAGTCCATCTAAGCCGTAAACCTTAACCCTGAACCCTAAACCCTGAACCTTAAACCATCCCAAGCTGAACCAGACGCTGGGAGGATCTAGAAAGTGGAAACCCCAATATGGTACTTACTATTGGGTAATTCTTGGCAACCCTTAACGGCCTCTAAAGCCTAAATCCTAAACTAAGAGGAGCGAGCTTCGCTGCGACCCCAAGGGGGGCACGCTCGCTCGTCTCTGTGGTCTCTGCCACCAGGTGGGTCTCTCGCTAGNNGACCCACCTATAGACACTTACGTAAGGCGAAGCCGCGTAATGCCTCCTATACATTGAAAGAGGTTCTCCACACTGAGCGTGCGTATATTGTAGTAGATGTCTCTTAACTACCCTAAACCCTACCCAGCACCACCTCAAAGACTTTGAAATTAGGATTTAGGGTTTTAGAATGGAGGATTTAGGGTTTTGGATTTAGGGCTTTGGACTTCGGATTTCGGGCTTAGGTTTTAGGATGTAGGATTTGACCCCCCAGACGTCGTGCGGGGCCCCCTCAGACGTCCACACGTCCAGGGTCCCCCAGACGTCCGGGGAGTCTGAAGACCCAGACAAGCCTCCCGCCTCTTTCCCCCTGCGAGACCCCCGGGCACCCGGACAGCAGATCCAACCTTCAGTGGCCGTGCCTGCCAAATACATGCTTTTTCTCCGCTTTGCTTTTCCTTGTGTTTGGCTTCTATAGGACCACAAAATCGCGCCAGATTTCAACAGACCTTCCGCCCTATTTCCACACAGGGCCCACGGCGCGAACCGCCATGAGGTCTTGGTCAATAGCCTTGGTTATAGCTCGGAAGATTTTTCCGCAAGGCTCCGAGTTGCCTCGGTGATTTTGGCCTTAGAAAGAGAGATTTCGTCGAAATGGCGATGTACATCGGACGCTTTTTGGTTGATTCGGTCAAAGCAATTATTTGTGGAGCGAGAGTTCTTTTACAAAACCTCCTGCGTTCGTTTTGGGGCAGTTGGGTTTTCACTTCGCGAACTTGTGTCCGCGCAGGAGGTTTTGGACGAAACGTGAAAAGCTAAATTTATGCTCCCCAGCTGCAAGTCTGCACAGCAAAGCTGGTAACCTCCGGAGTGTCAATGGCATAGGCTACTCGAGATCCTGACATCCGAAATCCTGCTTAGCTTAGAAAACTGGAATCTAGAAACTGCAGAGCCAATTCATGTTATTTCAGAAGTTCTATGTCACTACATGCCCCCGAAATCTCTGCATCATTGAAATCCCGCAAATACAAGAAAATTCAGAAATCCTCTAGCAACCGGAAATAGCAATCTCTTGAACACATAGACACTTGTAGATCCAAGAAGTCCTGGAAGTTCAGATAACGAAATCATCTGCTTGCTCGGAAGCCGTGAAATACTTGAACTCCAGAAAACCCACCGAATCCTACCCGTTCCGCACATCTATCGAAGGCACGGAATATCGCGCTGGGCGCATCTCGGCCGCTGGCTGGTCTGGCGCAGCTTTGACGTTCTCTACAAGTTTCAGGCTTGGCGCGCTGGTGGATAGAATTGGATGGGAAAAAAGAGCGTGGACGCGCAAGTCTGCATGTCTGCATGTATTCTAGCATGCGCCTGCTGCCTGATGGTTGATCTTGACTGCGGGGTTCAAAAAGGGATCAACACGCATGATGAATCCGTTTCTTGCCCGAGGCGGCCGTAGCCTCTCGCCGGTCTTTCCCAGAGCATGGCGCCGAAGGTGCAGCCGCCGTCTACTGCCGTTGTGTTCGGCAACACAACTTCGCTCTCAAGATCCGGCCGTGTTGGCTGGGACAGATTCTTCGCGAGGAGAAGCGCCTGGAGATTCGAAGGTGCCGCTGCGCTCGTCCGGAGCAGGTCACCCGCATGGAAACTGGCACGCTGCTCCTGCGTGCGCGGGCCAGGATCACGGAGTCCCACCTCGTGACGGACGCAGAGATGGTCGAGAATCACCAGGCTGCGTCTGCGACCTGGCTGCAGCTCACTTGCCGTGTTTGGCTGTGTGGTTTTTTGTGTCAGCATCTGAGTTGATCCAACGAAGGCACTTGATTATGCATGGATTCTGACCGGGGTAGAGATCCTGGATCCGCCTTTCCGCGTGCCGTCCATCGTGGCACGCCGCTGCGTTACATGGATGCTGCGCGCTCGCTGGAAAGCTTGGGACGAAGGTCATCTGCGGACGCCGGCCACAATCACCGACTTCTTCGCAGCCGGCCGCACCTCCAGCGCTGGCCCTTCTGCCTCGTCGCGGTCGTGGATTCGCTCATTTCCCGGCGACCGGGACGGCGCGGCCGAATCTTGAGCCCTTTGACGATGGTGGTTACGTCATGTGGGCCTATGGCCTATGTACGCATTAGAGGCCCTGTGCAAAGTTTCTTTCGCCGCGTCTTCTGAACGGCGCTCGATCACACTTCTGTCAGTCAGTAGCCTCGACCATGCGCCAGCCGCCCATCAGCAAGATGTGCGCCGGCCTGCGAAAGGGTTTCCGGCTCTTTATCCGTACGCTGTCTTTGCTTCAAAAAACATTTCGAACAGGTGCTTCGGATAAGGGAGACACAGGAATCAAACTTGGTTGCCAGGGACAGCTCCGCAGTGCGAGGTTGGGAGTGGTGTTTGGGGCCCCATAAAGAACCTTAAGCCCTGACAGGATAAAACCTGGGTGGCCAGGGGTGGGCAACGCGCGAGCAGTCGACGATGCGCCGCCCTGCAACCCTTTGAGTCGACGTGCGTCGTTTGTTGAAGCATGCCCTAAATTCTAAACCCTAATTTAGTGGGAATCTACTCTCTAGATCCTCCCACGGGTTCGGGGAGGGAAGGATCGGCCAACGGAATTTGGGTTTTGGGTGTATGGATTTAGGGATTTAGGATTTGGGGCTTTAGGATTTAGGGTTTTAGGTTTTTTGGGCCTTGCTGCTGTTATCTGATAACCCATGCAGCGGATCCTCCTGTCTATGTCCCCTGTCCAGTCCCCGATGGACTCGGCGACAAAGCCATATGCACAGCTGGCTGATCAACATCGTAGGTATCTAGCAAGTCATATCGAGACAAAAACAGCTTGCGCTCCGAGAGTGTCTTTGCTGCGCGTATTCTGGGCATGTGTGGTAAAAACAGTTTTGCGATTGCCGTAGCACTGGAGACATGGCATGTCAGAGGAGGAACGAGACGTCTTCCCCATGTTGCTGTGTGGTCTTCTGGTGTTCGGCTTGCGCGCGAGCGATGTTGGCCGGACGCGGCTTTAAGGATGGTTGTCTTTTGCTCCCATCTGCGCTTTCCAGGAGTAGGTAAGGGGGAATCTACTTTCAAAAGCTTCCCAGAACCTCGGGGTTCAAACCATAAACCATAAACCCTAACCGTAAACCCCAAACCTTAAAAGCTTGATAAGCACCCTAAACCAAATTTATACGGAGATTATGCAGAGAAGATAATTCAGCTGTATGGGTTCGAGCTACCGGTTGCAGGTCGTCTGGTTTCCACGTTCCAGCCGACCCCGGGACGTGATACTCTTAGGTTCAGGGTTTAGGGCACGTATCCCGGACCTCGACATTTGCACATAACAACCTACTAATAGGTCGGCTTTCGTGTGGTCCCTTGCAGTCATACCCAGACTTCCGCCGTGGTTTGCGGAAGAAATCCTGCAGGTCGTGGGGATCTACAGGAATTTCAGGACCACTTGAAATCCTACGCCTTCAAACGAGATAATATGACAATTATTTAGGGTTCCAGTTTGCAACTTTCCTGTTTCTTCAATGTCAAGCTCTCAAGCTGTTGGGGCAAAACTTAAGAAGTAAAATTCACCCCGTAACCAAAGTGTTTGTCGTAAAATCTAAATCTCTACATCCTCCTACACCCTAAGCCGCAAACCGGAGGTCCACGAACTTGTTGCTTCCCTGAACACGGCTGCCAGCTTGTGCCCGGAACATCCAGGCAAGTTTGAGCCAAAGGGGCGAACTTCATCTAGGGGCTGAGGGTTCAGGAATAGGGTTTAGGATTTTTAAGGTGCCCCAGTACTTAAATAGTATATGCTTCGGGCTCACAGGAACTCTTGTCTCAAATGATCTACTTGTTGAGGCATACTTGAATTTATGGGTGGGTTAGGTTTCATCGTTCTATCTTTTGGCTTCAGGGTTGCTGTTCAGGCTTGTAGGGTCTTTGGATGTTTTGGTTTGCTGTTCGGGTCTTAGGATGTTTTAGCTTGTTGTTCAGGGTTTAGGAGTTCAGGATGTTTTAGTGTGATATGGTTGATGGATGGCGGAAGTTCTGCTGAAGCGAAGGAGTTGCGGAAGCAGCGCCATGAATTCGGGAATGTCAATTCAGTAATAGCAGTAGCATTGTTGGGGATCATAGTTGAAAAGCACCCTTGTAGTAGTAGCAAATCCAAAAACCATAGTGACGGTAATGGTAAAGGTACTATTACCTGTGACATTCGTAAGGGAGTTTGGCCACCCCAATTCCCAAACAAGGACCCTCTGATTACCATTATGGATCTTAAAATGTAGACCTGTGATTAATACACCCGCTCCCCTTAATAAAGGTTATTTAAATAGGGAGCCTAATATTAAGGTCCTTACAAGGAGGGGGTTTACTTTTCACAGGTCTACGTTAGGGTGAAAGCCGGTGAAAGCCCCATTGTTTGTCATGAAGGATAGCCAAGCCAGCAGCTTTTACAATGCGGGTGCCCTACAGAGGTAGGTTCAAAACAACTTATGAGTCTTATTGCCCCTAATCCGTATATAGCTGTTATACCGCCACAAACATCAACACTTTATAGAACCTACCAGAGCCCAGGGGACCCGAGTGGTTTACGAGTTGCTTTGGAGATCACAGGCATGATGATGAAAGCCCTTTAGAAAGCTCCTGAATACTAAGCCTACAACAACACTAGGACAAAGCTCCTAGTCAGGGTCTTTTTCCGGGTATCCTGCCATTACAGTCTTTTTTTTTTTTTTTTTTTTNNTTTTTTTTTTTTGAATTTTGGGGCCGTATCATAATACAACCCCTAAGAGGCCGCACTCAGAGTTTAGGGTTTAGGGGGCAAGTGCGATGTGCAAGATTCCCGGCGAGAAGAGTAGAAGATCCGCACTGTCTTCACTGCCCTTCCTGTCCAGGAAGTAGAGTGGTTGTTCATGGGTGAAGAGCCCTCAGCAGTCGTTTCAAAGCTTGGCTTTTTTGGATGAAGTGCCATGAGCCTTCGCAAGCACATCATGAGTCCTTATTAAGCTATGCGCAGTGTGGTGAGCGTTATGAAAGCACTGATCCTGAACACCTAACCCCTAACCCTTAGACCGTACAAGACCAACCATCTAGAGGATTTCAAGCCTAAGCCCGTAGGTGGGAAGCACTCTGCCTTATGGCAGAAGCTCAAAACACATTTCTTTGATGTCCTAAGCTCCCCTAATGTCAATGCAAGCCATCTTGCCTTTCTGACCCTCTTCCAGCTCTTGTATACTCTTCTTCAGATATACATCAACGTGAAATCAGGTTTACATGTTCTCCGACCTTAAACCCAACAAACCACTAAGGTTTAGGGCCTAGGTTTGCCATAGCCCTTTAAACTCTCAACCCAACCCCCTACGGTGGATACAAAAATTGCATTTTCATGATTTGATACCTTGCGAAGTACGGTGTTATTGTATACGAAGGTCATGCAGGAGTTTTAGTATCAACAGTAGCAGGCTACTTCAAAGCCTGTGCTTCCGGCCTGGTCCCAAAGCTTGCAGAGCTCTCGGCTGCGTGGCTTTCATAGCCTGCAGGAGGTACAGGATTTTTTGGGCCCAGGGTTTGGGGTTTAGGGGTTTAGGGGTTTAGGGGTTTCGGGTGTAGGGTTTAGGGTTTAGGGTTTAGGGTTGAGGGGTCGGGGTCTGAGGCGGGTTTGCATGGTCTCAGAGTCTTGGAAAGGCTTGGTATGCTTAATCCAGGTTGTGTTTGATGGTCGAATTAGTTCTTATTTCTTGCGGGGTTTGTACCCTGAACCCTCAGATCCTAAATCGAAAGTGTCATTCTTTTGTTTTGGAAGGGGAGGATGGTAGGGATGGGGGCATATTGCTTCTCATGAATTCCGCAAGTTTTCCGTTTCGTCGCCGGGGGGACCAAATCTAGATGATCTATGGGAATGGTTTGTTGTTGGTTAGAGTACCCTAAACCCTGAAGCCTAGACCCTCTGTGGAATATGAGGATGTTTAAGGGCCTAGTAGGTATAGTCATCACCCCTTCAAGCCACACAATAACCCCGGTAATCATTCAAACCTTGAAACCAACTGTGCGCCGCAGGTCTTGTTAGGCTCCCTGCGCTGACAAGAATAGCAACATCACTGCAAGACTGCCTTCCGTTTTGGCAGCCAAATTCTCAAATCCATCTCCACAAGCAGAACACCTAAACACGGGTGCAAAGCCCAAGCCCGGAAAGCTTAAAACGTACAGCTGAAGCCAGAAAGCTTACATGCCAATCCCTCAAAGCTAGGTGGATGTTTTCCTAAAGAGGAGGCTCCAAATAAGATACGCGCCAATGAAGTTTAATCTTCCAAAGATACAAGGGAAAAACAGGGGAGTTACCATGTAGCGACCAGCAGCCTTACATGCCCCTTGGTCCCTATATACCCCTTATGTTTAATATCCTTTGTACAACCTTCCCCCATTGGAAACAACCTTCCTGTAGTTGGTCCTAAAAAGAGGGCGCGCCCTTTTTCATCCCTCTGAACTCCAAACCCAGCTTGACGAACCCTAAGCCCTACACTCGAAGCCCTAAGCCCTTAACCCTAAGGCCTAAACCTTAAGCCCTCACCCCAAGCCCTAAACCCTCAACCCCAAGCCCTAAGCCGTAAACCCTAAACCGTAAAGCCCTCAGGTTGACAATCTTGCTGACCTCAGCTATGCCTTCACCAAGTGCCATGCAACTTGGATACGTTTTCCCTGGAATCCCGCCTCTGTTGGGGTTAGGTTTAGGGGCGGAATTCAACAACAGATGCTGCCCAAATCAGCATTCAACAGCAACCCCGCATTGTTTAATACAGACGCGAATATTCTAGCCATTTATTCAGGAATCTTCCTTACCCTCCTCCGCACTAACATGTGCTTGCAACAAGAGCCAATTGAGCCTTTTTAAGTAGAGCTACATTGGATTCCATATTAGTTTGGCGAATGTAGAGTCGGAAGTTCTAAGTATCCTCGCATAAGCTTAAACCTTAAACCCCACACCCAAAAAAGCTAAACCTTAAATCCTAAACCGCAAACGCTAAACCCTAAACCATACGCGGGGATAGCTTTCTTTTGAATGTTACTGGAGCTTTTTTTCCTAGACTGGGTTGC